ACATATGAAATATTATATATTTATGAAAAAAAACACATTAATGATGATCACATTTAAATATGTGATGACACTATCATCTAATAAACAACTACTTGATTATTTGAACAGTAGGGCCCTATCATTTCCGTGGACGGAATCGTGGAATCCTGTCATAAAAACGGAACTCATTGTATAACGTGGAATTTGTCAAATGTTTGATGAATAAATAAAAAGCAGGTCAGTACACTTAGTCAAATCACCATGTAGATTAGTTTGTTCTGGATATTGATCTATGCATAATTCTGCCTATAGGCCATTGCACACTGGCCCTCATTTATCAAAAGTGCGTACACCAAATTTCCAGCGTACACCTGGTGTACACCCAAAACCACGGTGACTATGAGATTTATTAATATGGACGTTGGCGGACGGCACGCTCAAATCCTACACCCGCTCAGGAGGTGGTGTACGCACGTTTTGAGTTAGTGAGGAAATGCGCAGAAAAATTCCGAACACCACAAAACGCTCTGACAAACTAAAAGATATGATATATTATGACCCACTGTATGACAACAACATAGTAGGCTAATTATAAACTTCAACTTTATTTTTGTGCAACGTGGAATTCAAAGTTTAATTTGTGTGACTTTACCAAAGCATTTGATTTGTAAGCATGTATTCCTTCAGCTGCGAGCCTTTGGACTTTACCCTGCCGTTTCAGGATTAGCTATCCCCGCCCGGCAGGTGCGCACGGACTCGGTTCGGTAATGAAAGGCTTTCAATGACCAAAAAATAATTCAGACTGACAAAATAATAAAAAATACATTCTTCTTCTTTTAAATGATAATAATAATACAAATAATAATAACGACATCCTTCTTCTAAATATCAATAAGCGTCATTAAATCATCATAATAAGAATATTACAAATTGTCATGCAATTATTAATGTGAATGAATGTTAGGCTACTTCACATCATCATCACCACTAGTATTATACATGTGACGTGACTCGAAATTGAATGCTAATTCAAAAGACGTGTTGTAAAATAATGCAATGTGATAGGTCATTTCGGCTCCACGTCGGAGAAGTTTCTCTTCTTTGCCGTCTTCCGTGTGTCCATGGCGTAAAATGAGGGCGTGGGGGGAGCGGAGACTTGAATATTTAGGGGCGTGTTATTCTAATGACGATCGTTTTCGGCCGCGGGATTTATCAAGGGCAGGCATTGCGTTCACCTGGATTTCAAAGGTACGCACAGCTTCATAAATCAGGCGGTGAGAGGAGTGTAAGCATAATCTTACGCCAAAATATACGCCCGTTTCTACGTAAGAATGATAAATGAGGGCCACTGAGTCCGAAATTCGCATCAGAAATTTTCGCACTTAAAAAAAAATTCGACCTCACATTATGTCAATCATGCTTGCACACCGCCTCCGAAACTTTCGTCCGTCATAAAATTAATCGGATCGGGTTCGATTTTCTGCATTTTTCGTATCCAGAGCCAGCATTTTGAGAGGTTTTTTGACAATTCAGGGCCGGGGGGAGCTCGTCCTCAAATCATTGCACATATGCGCCGTGCTTTCAGTTTCGATCTTCAATTCAATTCGATCAAGTGTTTATGTTCTCTTCTCTATATTGGATTATGAAATTAATAAACCTCCCCTTTCAATCAGATTGAAATTTAGGATCGAATAAGGTGTGATTGAGCAGCCAATTCGATAACTAATGTATTATTTGGGCACAATATATAACAGCCTATACAGCTGTTCTGTTTGCCCAGCGCTTCCACCGGGCCGCGCGCGCGGGTGTGTGTGTGTGTGTCCATACCTGGTCCACACCAGACACACTGCCAGTCTCCGTTCAGAATTGATTGGTTCACGGAAATTGGTGGTCTTGTTTTTAATATGTGGCTCCAGAATCGTTAGCAAAGCATCGAACTGTCCCACTGACATTCTGAAATTGTGGATATTGTGGATAATCGCTAGGGATAAATTCGCAACTCCTTGATAAGAAGGTGGAACTCTCCTTCCTCTCGGCGCAATTTCAGGATTGGATGGACGCAATATTTTCTCTTTCTTCTCTTTTCAATAAGAGAGAGGGCAACAAAATCATCATCACTGCTTGACGAATCCATTTGGTATTTTTGCGTTTTTCCCGCAAAGGTTTAATAAATACGCATCGGACTCGGTGTGCAAGGTTTCTATGCGTGACAAATTTTTTAGGCTGACGAACACTGAAATACGCATACGAAAATTTCGTACTCTGTGTGCAATGGCCTTAAGAAGCCTAAAAAAACTTAGACTCACAATCGGCACACAATCTGACGTCAAACACAGCGGATAACGGCGCACACTCAATAGAGCTTTTGTTATGAATGTAGGCTATAAAAGTCTATTGGAGTCATATAGACCCCAAAGATAAATTGAGGATTAGGTACATTAGGAAAATAAGGAAAAATACATTTTAAAATTGACTGGATGAGTCTTATTTGAAGCAACTGCAAAATTTGCGACCACACATTTAAATGCCGTGTTAATGCCGGCACATAATGACATTGCTACTGTGAGATATATTTGAATAAATTCGGTATTGTGATATGGTTTAATGCTTTATTAATATCAATCCTCGATTTTAATTTTACACTAGTACAATAGCATAATTGCATTTTGTTTATTTAAATTAATATTTCAAAAATTCGCTACTAGAACTGTGCGATATATGCAATAATATTGCAGAAAAACAAAATATGGCAATATCAGTTTTTATTTGTATATTATACATCCATAATTGCTACTGTAAACAACCTACAAAATACACACAGTGTGTCAGATGTGTGTGTGATGTGACGTGTACTTGTCAGAACTAAATTGCTCCCATTACAATCAGTTCTTGGTGTTAAGTAGGCCTCTCTTAATGGTGACCTGCTGTGTTGTTACTCAAGACACTGTCTTGGAGCATGGGAATGAGTGTGTGTGGTCCCTCTCATTTCAAATAATGATGGCTACTACACAAGGGATGATTCCCTCTAAGACAGGATTTCTCAAACTCAGTCCTAGAGGGCCGCTGTCCTGCAGAGTTTAGCTCCAACCCTGATCAAACACACTTACCTGTGAGTTTCTAGTGATCCTAAAGACCTTGATTAGTAGGGTTGCACGATTCAGAAAATGTCACGATTCGATACCGATTTTTTTTGTCTCGAGATTCGATTCAAAAACGATTCTCGATTCAAAAAACGATTCGCAGGTCTACATAAATGTAGTTTACTTTTTCCTATGTGATTGATTGTTTACACGATTGGTTTACCCGTGTCACACTGTCTATAAGGCTTATACATTCGCTTCGTTTCATTCAGTGTTCCCGCTTGGTAAACCCGGTATTAAATGGGCTGAATATCAACCATTTCTATATATAATAATAATATTAAACAATTTGTCTGATGCAATTTTGCTATTCCCAGTCCAGAAGAGAGAGAGCGATCTCTCACCCGGAGCCACAGCGCGAACAACATGACAGCCCAGCTTAATGAGTGACAATGAGGACAGAACGTGGTTACCTACACTTTAGATCTGGGATATTATTCTAATTGTATTTTAGATTTCCGCTTTCAAAGATTATAAAAAGATATTTGAGATGAAACCATTACAGACGCATTCTGTCTATAGCGCAACTTCCTTCCCTTCACAGCGTTGCGCTGTCATTTCTTCCTAAAACCCCAACGTACCGTCAGAATCAGCACGATCGGTGATTGTTGTAAAATGCAGTCTGTACTGTTGCTAAACTGCGTACGGGTTCAATCATTAAAAGAGCTAGTAAAAGCACAAAAGTCTGTGCAAGAGACGCTGTTCACAAGGTGATGCGTGCTCCGAAATGCACTGCAACGGGACAAGAAAAGTAGGCTATAGCCTCATTTTGTTTCACCATGTGTTTGTACTTGTTTTTGCTTATATCTCATGTATTTGGGGAAAAAAAAGCCTGCACACTGCTGCATAACAAATACAGTAGATATTTATTCATTTTGTGACTGGCCTAAAAACGTAACCGGTTGTAGGTTGCAATAACACCTAGTGGTGGATGCACAGTTTGAAGACCCAGTCAGTGACGTCACAGTAGCCTATGCAATTAAAAAAAAAAAAAAAAAAATTCATGATCACCATGACCAAAATTTTACTTTTTTTTTTACACTGAATCCTGGAAAAAAAAAATATAGACCTACCTACCGACCCTTTTTTTAAAAAAAATTGCTGTTACAGCAAACCAAAATATTTTTAAGGATGGCCTCATTTAGTTCGCTATTAAGAGACCTGTTGTTTTTGAAGTCAAGCTGAGCGCTCGTGTCCGCTGCGATCAGTGTCATGGGTACAGTGTTCTCTGTGGCTCGCGCAGTCTTCTCTCGAAAGCGCGCTTCAATCTATCGCCGTTGTGGAGACTCCGGTGAAATCACAAAATAAAATGCACACAAACGTGATGAACATATTCGGTTTTGATGAGAGAGAGAAAAAACTATACGAGTGCGGTTTAGAACCCGTAACCTCTGACACGCTTGGCAAAAGATCTACAGAACTCAAACTTAAGATCTGCGGATCGATGCATTTATTTACGGGTTGAGCAGAGTGGCGGCACAGTTTGACCAGCGGGCGGCAAGAACTTGCAATAACTATTTATCAGACCGGCCCTCGCAGCCTCGAAACCATAGAAACACTACCGGACCACCGGTAAAAGTCCCGACTTACCCGATTGCCACTCGGCCCCTGCACGCCATTAAAAAATATAGCCTATGAATCGATTTTTGGAATTCTATGAATCGATTCTGAATCGGTAAAGATTGAATCGCGATTCAAATGTGAATCGATTTTTTTGCACACCCCTATTGATTAGCTTGCTCAGGTGTGTTCGATCAGGGATGGAGCTAAACTCGGCAGGACAGTCCAGGACAGCGTTTGAGAAACACTGCTCTAAGAGATCATCACTGATTTAGCTAATCAGATGTGTGTGTGTGTGTGTGTGTGTGTGTGTGTGTTCAGCAGAGGCTGCCGGTGGATATGTGGATTTCTCCCTGATCATCCCGCTGCTGCTGTCTCTGGCTGTGTTAGTGGCCCTCGTGGTTTTGCTGCTCAACTGTGCTTCCTGCTGCAAAGAGCAAGAGATCAACTTTAAGGTGAGTGAAATGTTGTGTCTCTTTCTGTTTCAACAGTTCAAGAGTAGCTATTTCTTGAGTGTCGCTAATATTCATATCAAATGTGATTTGTGATCTGTCAGGAGTTTGATGACCACTTTGAGGATGAGGTTGATTTCACGCCCCCAGCGGAGGACACCCCCTCTATGCAGTCGCCAGCGGAGGTTTACACACTCGCCGTTCCCCCTGTGCCCCTCCCTGGACCCCCTCACCTCCAACTGCCCCGCTTAACAGGTCAGAAGCCCCAATGCGTTGAGTACAAAGATACACTATTTTATCTAAAGTTGCTTTGGCTCCTTTGACGTGTGTATGGTGTGGGAGCGGCAGGTTAGTTGTAACAATGAGCGAGGAAGTTGACATGGGGCAGCTAAATCTCCAACTTCTGGGAAATCAACAGAGGAGAGTGCGTAAAAAACGAGAATCAACATTGGTTTGGCTTTTCGGGGATGGTGAGAACTAGGACTGGGTGATATGGCTGACATATCTCTGTATTTTTGGGCTGAATGATATATCTTTGGATTTTTTTTAAATATTTGTATAAAAAAATCTCGTACTGCCAATGTTGTCCTACAAACAATGTTTATATGGAAGGCAATGAAAACAAATGTAGTGAACGTAACCATGTAGGCTATGCTATATATTATGTGCAAAAAAGGAAAGAATTAAAAATGCATTACATTGTGACCGTATTACAAGCTAAAAACAAAAGTAAAGCAGAAGTTAAAATCATTAAAGCGCAGACTTAAAGGGATAGCTCGGCCAAAAATTATATTTAACCAATGCATTACTCACCCTCAAGCCGTTCGAGATGTATATGTCAATCTTGTTTCAGACGAACACATTTTCAGTTATTTTAGAAAATGTGGCCTTCTGAGGGTAATCTGTGCGGTATTGTTGTAAAAATATACATATTTAAAACTTTATAAATGAAAATATCTGACTTCCGGCAACGATTGACGCACGTTCACGCGTGATGGAAGTCGACGTACGTAGTGTAGGGACCGTCATGACGTCCCAACGTTTCTTACGCTACGTCCTACCTCGTACGCCGACTTCCATCACCCGTGAACGTGTGTCGATCATTGCCGGAAGTCAGATATTTTCATTTATAAAGTTTTAAATATGTATATTTTTACGACAATACCGCACGGATTACCCTCAGAAGGCCTTCGTTTATCCCACTTGAGCCGGATGGATTACTTTTGTGAAGGATGTATGCACATTTTTGGGACTTGAAGGAGCTGGACCCCATTTCTTCACATTATATCCACTGAAGGGTCAAAGACATTTTCTAAAATAACTGAAAATGTGTTCGTCTGAAACAAGATTGACATATGCATCTCGAACGGCTTGAGGGTGAGTAATGCATTGGTTAAATATCATTTTTGGCCGAACTATCCCTTTAATGTTCACTGGTTAGAGGAACACATTCACTCACCTTGTCTTAGTAATTATACTAGCCTACATTTGATTACCCCTTTACAATGTCTCTTTACAGTTACTGCGGGCATAAAAATACACTTACTTGTAGGTTTAAAATTCTACTTATGGCACTTTTAATGTGTCAGACTCGCTTGCATAAGGCATAACGGTCCAGTCCTGACAGCAAAATGGATATTTGCATGACTTTCCAACATACAGATGGAGAATACCTGTGAAATGTAAGTTTTGCACTGAGGAAAGCACATCTTCAACAGATGTTGCTCTCTGAGAGAGTTTATTGTGAAGCATTATCTACTGTGAAGGGTCATTTCATTATGGTTGTTGTAGTGCTGTGCAGGAATTTATTTTCAAGGAAGTTCTGTGCCCATTAAAGGGTAAAGCTAAAGTAACTTCTTCAGCTAGTCAGCTTGAGATCCTTTAAATCTAGACCGGTTATGTCTCTTAAGCCTAGAGGTTAGGGGTGTAACGGTTCACAAAATTCACGGTTCGGTGAGTACACTTGTATCACGGTTCGTTTCGCTAGCCCTACGGTTCGGTACCTTGATTTGTCCTTGTTTTAATTTTTTTAATTATATTTTTATTAAAACTAACGTCATAAAGTATGATATTTTTTACTTTGAGCAATGATGGAGCTATACTTGACTTCTTAGGAGATTATAAAACAAAACAGCTGCTTGGACAAAATGAAATGTAATATTGTAGTAGTTATAAACAAAGTTTTATTTTAGTTCAGATTATAATTTGAGTGGAGGAATTGTATTCATAATGTCAAAATAAAACTGACGTGATGTTACTTGAATGCATTATAGCCTACTATTCCTGCCAAACTCCCATGGTTGCAGTTAGTAATGTTATATAGTAAACCCACGGTGAATGTTGCTGATCTGTGGACACTGGATAGTTCATTCATGGCACAATGTTTCTCCTGGTTTCCACATCAGCTCGGTTTGATCCGTTAATAACGGAGAAATGTGAATGTTGCTAGATCTCGCAGCGATGTTATTACTTCAGTGGCGAATTCAGATGTTTTCTTTACTGGATTTGGCTTTGTCTCCAATTAGTCGAAACAACAGCACAACTTGAATGCTCATATGACATCATTTTTATCCATGTTTTCACGGTCTCGCAGAGCCAAAGCACAGCCAAAATAATGTTCTTCTGCAAAATGCATGCAGTTTAGAGGGCCAAAAGTTAAATAGTGCACCTTTAAGTGAAAATAAAAGTCTTATTCGCTCTCAATATCCAGACATGCTTCTGAAATATACCATATTATGATGAATGAAGGGTCTTACATAACCAGTTTAGGAGGAAAATATTCTATTGTCTGTTATGGTTTCATATTCATTTCAGTGTTATATTCAGACTAGCTGATTTTTTTCCTACTCCTTGCATTTGCTGTTTATTTGGTCTCATTGATCCATTTCTATGTTCTTATATTTGGTCTTTTAGACGTCTCATCAGGTCCTCACGTGGCACGACACTCTCTCAGTTACATTCAGGAGATCGGGAGCGGCTGGTTTGGAAAGGTAAGCCTGTCTTCCTGTATTTACATTAGACATAGACTTTTGTCTTGCGACGCACATTGTGTGAAAGCAAAGCACTGGCTTCTGAAGTTTCTACAATTTCCTCCTGAGGTTTAATCTCGAATAATCACACCCTGTGATCTTGTTGGTACTTGCTCTCATCTCTATGCACGGGGTCCCTTGGAGGCCATAGTTTGACGTGTTCGAGGGAGCATTATACGGCGCTCAAGCTGTCCTCCCATTGCTTGTGTGTGGATGTGTTTACCGAGATTAAGACTTAAGGGAAAACCTTATTTCCTGATGCTTTTTCCTGCCATGGGAACATCCTCATCTGAGCCACCTGCTGTGCTTGGGTCAACCTAACAGGCCTTGTTTTCAATTGTCAGTCTTAGAATCAGTTCTGTATCAGAAAAATTTCTCAGTTTGTCGTCTTCTGGCAGGTTCTGCTCAGTGAGATCTATGTGGACCCTGCAGTCGCCCGAGCCGTTGTCAAAGAGCTGAAGGCCAGCGGCAGCTCCAAAGAGCAGAACGAGTTCCTGCAGCAGGGCGACCCGTTCAGGTAAGAGAGGGTCTTTATCGGCTCTTCTGTGTTAGGTTTGATATAAGCTTTTACTTTGTAATGTACACTGGGGCCAAAAAGTATTTAGTCAGCCACTGATTGTGCAAGTTCTCCTACTTAGAATAATGATAGATCTCTGTAATTTTCATTATAGGTACAATTCAACTATGAGAGACAAAATGAGAAAAAAAAGAAATCCAGGAAATCACATTGTAGGATTTTTAAAGAATTTATTTGTAAAATATGGTGGAAAATAAGTATTTGGTCACCCACAAACCAGAAGGATTTCTCCAGAAGGACCTGTAACTTCTTCTTTAAAGAGCCCCTATCATAGCATTGGAAATGTTCCTATTTTTGTTTCTAGGAGTTCCCAAAAACAGTTTAACATGCATGCAAGGATAAAAAACACGTAATTTGTCTTATAATATGCATTTATTTTTAACTGATTTGCTCACCGACTCCCAAATGATTCGTACAACGACTAATTTTTCCAAACCACTCCTTTGCGTGACGCTAATCGGCGGTGATTGGTAAGATGACCGACCCAGTCAGTTATTGTTTGTTAGTATAACGCATAAACATATTGATAAAGCACTGCAGTACTACAAGACGATCTATTCTTTATGACAACTCCAATAACAGCGACAAACATTTCACATATTTAAAAAAAATTTACATTGGAGACCTAGAAGCTGCGCTGAGCGTAACTTACACACACACACACACACACACACAGATACACGCGCAGACACATACTGCCTCGCGCCCCGACATAACAAAACCGTTCAAAACCCATAAAAGCAACAATTATTAATAATACTTACAGGTTGTGATTCATAGGAGGAAGCTGATCCATATACACTGGGTAAGTAAGTTACTGAGCCCTCCTTCAGGAACAACCGCTTGCGAATGAACATTTTAATCCATTTATGTTTTTGAACTAAAGTTATTCGTCAATAAAATGATGAGAACACAATCGGGCTATACTGTTGTGGTATCGTTGCAAATATGAACTCTAACCACCGATTCTTCACATGCTCGTCCCTGGTAAATGAAAACAAAGTGGCTGAACTATCTTTGCATTGTAGAACACAGCGTCTTCTCGACATGATGCTATGATGAAGTATTTGAATAGAATAGACTTCAAGTTTACACTTCCGTCTGCGCTCGCAGTAACTGGGCGCGGCCAGTAAGCATCTACGTCACTACGAACCAGCTAATGACCCGTTTCAAAAACAATTCATTTCATAGACTCAGAGTCGACTCTCACTTTTGAAAGACAATAACTTTATATACGGTGCACTTTCAGATATAAATCTTTGCAGGATGTTTTTATTCCCTTAGAGCTATATTCCACACCATATGAACAGAAAAAATCCATGATAGGGGCTCTTTAAGAAGCTCTTCTGTCCTCCACTCGTTACCTGTATTATTGGCACCTGTTTGAACCGTTATCTGTATAAAAGACACCTGTCCACAGCCTCAAACCTGCCCACACTCCAAACTCAACCACGGCCAAGACCAAATAGCTGTCGAAGGACACCAGGAAGAAAATTGTAGACCTGCACCAGGCTGGGAAGAGTGAATCTACAATAGGCAAGCAGATTGGTGTGAAAAAATCAACTGTGGGAGCAATTGTAAGAAAATGGAAGACATACAAATCTCGCTCGATCAGGGGCTCCACGCAAGATCTCATCCCGTGGGGTCAAAATGATCATGAGAACGGTGAGCAAAAATCCCAGAACTACACGGAGGGACCTGATGAATGACCTGCAGAGAGCTGGGACCAAAGTAACAAAGGCTACCATAAGTAACACACTACACCGAGAGGGACTCTAATCCTGCAGTGCCAGGCGTGTCCCCCTGCTTAAGCCTGTACATGTCCAGGCCGTCTGAAGTTTGCCAGAGAGCATATGGATGATCCAGAAGAGGATTGGGAGAATATCATGTGGTCAAAATAGAACTTTTTGGTAAAAACTCAACTCGTCGTGTTTGGAGGAAGAAGAATGGAGAGTTGCATCCCAAGAACACCACACCTACTGTGAAGCATGGGGGAGGAAACATCATGCTTTGGGGCTGTTTTTCTGCAAAGGGGACAGGAAAACCCGATCCGTGTTGAGGGAAGAATGAACGGGGCCATGTATCGTGAGATTTTAAGCCAAAACCTCCTTCCATCAGGGAGAGCCTTAAAGATGAAACGTGGCTGGATCTTCCAGCATTACAATGATCCCAAACACACCGCCCGGGCAACGAAGGAGTGGCTCCGTAAAAAGCATTTTAAGCTCCTGGAGTGGCCTAGCCTCCAAACCTCAACCCCATAGACAGTTTGAAGAGGGAGTTGAAAGTCTCTGTTGCTGCCCGTGACATCACTGCTCAAGAGGAGATCTGCATGGGCCAAAACACCAGCTACAGTGTGTACAAACCTGGTGAAGACTTACAGGAAACATTATGTTACAAAGTATTGAGTTGAACTTTTGTTGTTGACCAAATACTTAATTTCCACCATAATTTACAAATAAATTCTTTAAAAATCCTACAATGTGATTTCCTGGATTTTGTCTCTCATAGTTGAAGTGTACCTATGATGAAAATTACAGACCTCTCTCATCATTCTAAGTAGGAGAACTTGCACAAATAGTGGCTGACTAAATGCTTTTTGCCCCACTGTGTGGCATATTAGCAGTGTTTTCAATAACACATAGTTAGTCAGTGTTTTTAACAGATTATGTGTTTCGTTGTCTCTTTACAGGGTTCTTCAGCATCCCAATATTCTGCAATGTCTTGGTCAGTGTGTGGAGGCCATTCCTTTCCTGCTCATTTTCGAGTACTGTGAACTGGTAAGTGCACGTGTGAGTGTGTCATAATTGAACACATGGCATATAACACGGTGTTATTATTTATTTAGACAAAAATAAAGCAAAAAAGATGTGTGGAAAAACTAAGTACACCCTGTGATTCAACGAATTTTGTCCCGCTTTTCTTTAAATTACAACATTGCTTCAGTTCATCGAGGTTTGCGGGCATCTGTTAATGGCATCATTGCAAAACCTTGATTTTTTTCTTTTCTTTTTCAGCCATTTTGGTGTAGGTTTTCCTTAGTAGATTTTACTGTCAGTCAGGACACCATATTTAATTTGATGTGAAAATCTTAAAGCCAAAGCGCACTCTTTTTAAAGTGTGCCATCAAAAGTGTGTCGTCTATTCTGACTCTGTTCTTTCAGAGACTGTCGTGTAATAGGAAAGCAGATAAGCGGGTGCTAGTCCTTTAGCACAGTGTGATCAATGACGTATTAGATACCTGAAGACATCATTTTTTTAATTAATTCTTCTGCATCTGTCTAGCGCTCCAGGTCATCTTGTCCTGCGCTCTTTTCTTGAATCTTGTTTCACAGCCATGTACGGCATCTCAAATTCATTTCGGACAAGTCTGATGAAAGCACGGATGCTCCAGCGTACCTACTTCATTTGTTCCCAGCTCTTTAATTAGGCCAGCATCCGTCATCAGTTGCTCGGCCAGTGTCTGTCAGTGGGCTGTTTCTTGCCCTTTGATTTATTTTCTGTTTTTCTTGTTCTATTTCGGGTGCAGAGCAGTGCCTGTGAAGGATATGAGCCGCATAACTGCATGCAGTAGGCAGCGCTCCGATTTCCTCATATCCCAATAAAGCAATAGGGTTCTTTTACCGACACCGTCACTCTCACATCTTGCTGCGTTGGTGCATTTTATCACCATGCTGCAAAAGACACTAGGAGCTAGATTATGATTATTAACGTGATATGAACTACACATTTGTGCAGGTAAGTAACAAAATAAATAGGTTACACTTTATTTTTTAGAGTACAAGTACCCAGGAAAGCGCTTGAAATATTAGGTAACTAACCACTTTAGGGGTTGGTGAGTATAACCCTAGTTATATTGTAAATATGTAGAACAGAACTGTAAAATTAAGTGCTACCAATACATATTTGTATATAATATGTAAAATTCGTATAATCTAACAATTCAAACAGGCCTCAAAACGATTCGAAAGTAATATTCTTATTTCTAATATGTATTTACATAATGCTAAAGTACTGCAATATAGCCACGGTGTTTTACAAGTCTCAAATTTTCAAGCGCCAAGTAAAAGATAAAACAGATGTCATCATTTAATAATGAATTGCACACAGTTGGAGTCTTGCTAATGTCCTAACAATATAGCAACATATAGCATGCTAACGATAATCTCTGTTTCCTTTCGGTTTCTGCTGCACCCGACTCTGTAATTAGTTCGCTGTAAATCCCAGAGCGGTAGTGGTTGGTAACATCCTACACACCTGACCAGTTGTCAGGAACAATGGCTGTGGTTTGGGGTCCTCTGGGCCTGAGCAGGTGGATGGCTTCGAGCCATGATGCCCGTCTCCAGAGAGGGCATGAGCTCACTGCGGCTCACTGTTGCGTAATACAATATGGGCCGCTTCCTTAGCTGGTGTTAGGGCTCGGGTTTCGACCATAGCCGCCGTTCCTTCCCAAGTCAGAGTGAAGCTTCACACGAACCAAGAGGCTGAGACATAGACCATTTTGTGTGTATGGTCCTACGACTGCTCATCTCAGAAGATGGGCATTTCATTGCTCTGTTCTGGCTTTGTTTCCCACCCTAGACAAGTTTGTGTGGCGTATTGAGAGGTTTGGTTGGGGTCGTCAATGGCTGAGTTCAGAATAGCATACTATTTATTTTTATTTATTTATATTGATTTTATCAGTGTGTACTGTAGGATTTGTACTGTGCACCGTGTTTGGTTTTCTGTTTGCGTGACAGGATACAACCAGATCACAATTCAGTGACACACTTATATTTTGTTCAACCACATTTTCTCATTCTTGGCTCATTTTATTGGACTGGAAGAAATACAATTTTCAAGATCATTTGATTCCAGTCGGTTAATTTAACATGCTTATTTCTGTCTTGGTTTTAAAAGGCTTTCTGGTTGCATAATGTTTACAATTTCACCTACACTGTTGCTCAAAAGTTTGAGAAGTAGATTAAGTCTCTTAAGAAGTAGAAGTCTCTTCTGCTCACCCAGGCTGCATTTATTTGATCAAAAATACAGTATGGCATACATTTTGTGGCGTAAAGAATCCTAAACCATTATTTTAGGATTCTTTGATGAATATAATGTCTGTTTTTTGACCATTTCTTAAAAAAAAAATTACTGACCCCAAATTTTTTAATGTTACTAGTGTACATTAAATATCAGGCAGAATACAAGTATATATTTTCAATTATACTCCAATGCTGTTGAATGCTTGAATCCGATTGGTTGACGAACGTGCAAAGGCGTGCAATTATTTTCAGGGAAACGCACAGGTTAAGTAGCTACTTTTGACCGCCTTAGTCCACGTCACTTCACCAAATGATTTCAGTTATTTCAAAGGTCCTTGCACTTTAAAACAGCAAAATAAACAAAACCCACGAGAACACTGACATATAGTAAACAAAAGGATATAAACGACAAATTATTTTAATGTTTTTGCCACAAAATTATGTACGTAAAGCACATACTCTTTTTCTCCTGCTCTCTCTCTCACACACAGTAGAGACACACACTCGCACAGAAACGTGTTGTCAGCGCTGCTCTGATGATTTTATTGGTAAAATAGTTTAGCAACTTACTCACTAGCAGGGAGTTCTTGAAGCAGATAAACTTACGTTTTCGCGATTAGTTAAGATGCAGACTCAGGCAATTCACACACGCCTAATCTCTCTTGCTAGTAACATCTGCATTAGTCTGGTATCAAAGGCTCAAGCCTCTGCTACTAGCTTTAAAATGACGTTTTGGAATTAGCAACAGAGGCATGGTATGAGATGCGCAAGAAATGACTTCTAATAGTCGAGGATTCGATTCGGAGAGGTCCGATTCCACTATGAACGTTATAGTCGAATACTACACGGCCAGTTCAACCTCGTATAAGGCCATGTCCACACTAATACGTTTTCGTTTGAAAACGTATATTTTTCTCTCCGTTTTGGCCTTCCGTCCACACTGAGACGCCGTTTTAAGTCAACAAAAACGTATCGTTTGGAAAACGCTCTCCAAAGTGGATAAATTTGAAAACACCGTTTTCGCGTTGTAGTGTGGACAGTGAAACCGGAGGTTTTTCAAAACGATGACGTAAGTTTAGTCATGTGATCCATGTAGTACCAATAGATATTCATGTTTATCGGTATTGTGCCTATTATTCATTTTTACACTATTGCTAAAATATTACTTTCTATGTTACTTAATATGTGCTATTCTTCATAGCACAGCACTGCAAAGATGACTGATAATGTAGCTTACTCACATTTGCTGTCCTGCGGCAAAACAGGAGAGCAGTTGCGTTTTAGACCAAACATATGGTGGCTGAATGCGACCTGGACACATCCGTGATGATGAGATATTTTGCTAAATAAAATTATCCTGTTATTGTGCGATGACATTATTATTTATTTTCCCATCTGTATCATCTCAGTGAGCTTTTGTGAAGTTTCACGCATGCGCAGTAAAGTGAATTTAGAACTTTCTCATCCACACTGAAACGTCGGAAAACACCTGAAAACGCTAGTGTGGACGGAGAGCGTTTTTAAACGAAAACCCCGTTTTCAAATGTATCCGGATTAATGTGGACGTAGCCTAAATCAGGTTATGTGTGTCTCTCTGGCGCATGCGAAGATCGCGCAGCATCGTCAACTTCATCTTTATTAATAAACAATTAAAATGTCTCCTTGCTATATTTGTTCTTTGTGACAGCTTTTTATTTTCGGCAGCGCCGCTGCTACCCTTAGGCTAAAGCGTTAAGTTACAAGCTCACCACCGCATCAAAAACATGGTTGCGTGATAAAAACATAAAAAAATACTGCCTAAACATAGCCTAACTGTTTATTAAAAAAAAAACACAGAACGAATAGCCTAATGCCTAGTTCACACTACATGATTTTAAAACGTCGGGCTGAACTGTGCAGTTCACATTACATGACTTGCTCTCAGTGAAATCATGAGTGTTCAAGTTGTTTAGCTGTTCACACCACACAACACAACGTGATTGATCCACAACAGGAGGTAACTCACTTCATGAGTTAACAACGCACTACATAGAGATACAACCACGATCAGATGATAAGAGCATATCATTTGTGACTCAATGAGAGCTGTTTCAGTACTATAGTACGGTCTAAATCCTGAAAATAATCAAACAAATAACGAGTTGACAACAACACGATTCTATCTGGTCTAGAAACCATGTTTTGTCACGAAAAACCACGCAATAAAACGAACCAGAAATGACGCGAAACTACAGAGAAGAACACAACACGCGAATATGGACGTCAGACAGAAACTAGTGCTGCACACTGTTTGCTCGACGATCTGCTCTGAGAAAAAAAATGCAAAAAAGAAAAAGTAAGATTTACCTGGTGTCCTCAACCCATGCGTTGCTATGATTGGCTGTACTCATGACATCACTGAGATTGAGTCGCGCGACTGCGCGAGATATCTAGCATGCTAGATATTTTTCTGAGCTCGGTGACCTGTCTGCGAGGTGTCTGCGAGCTGTCTTTGATGCGTTGTTGGCTCTTTCACACTAACGGATTGGCGAGCGTTAATCGTCCGCTAATCGCCCGCGATTTGCACGCGATAACACCCTGACTTGTCGGCGACTCAACGATTTGCAAATCGGCTTAAATCGGGCTTAAAATCACGTAGTGTGAACTAGGCTTAATGCACATACGTCCATCTCTTTTGTTTGAAATGGAAAAAGTATAGCTGCTAGACCTATCTAAAAAAAAAAAAAAAGGTTCGACTATATAGCGAAAAAAAAAAA